GTCCCCACGGACGGAAGCGCCGCCGCAACCAAGCGACGGGCGGGCGGGGCCGGCACCGGGACCGGGATCGCGGCCAGAACGGGCGGAGCTGAGGGGAGGGCGGTGCTGAGGGGAGCGAAGGGCGGTGCTGAGGGGAGGGGAGGGCGGCGCTGAGGGGAGGGCGGCACTGAGGGAAGGGCGGTACTGAGGGAAGGGCGGTACTGAGGGAAGGGCGGCGTGATGGGGACTCGGAGCCGCAGGGTAGAGCCGGAGCCCCGCAAACAGCGCCCCGAACATGGGCTTCGGCTTCAGCCTTTGGTTCCCTGGGTGTGGGAATCCAGGGCTTCCCTCTGTCTGCCCTGGAGGGCATGGGACCCTGGCAGGGGTCAGGAACCCCCCTGGACAGAGCCCCCAGAGACACTGTCTCTGATCTCTGTCCATGGAAAAGAGTTTTCAATCTTACAGGATGAATTACCAGCTCTGAGTGTTTGATATCAGTAATAATTAAGTGTGGCACGGGTGCAAAAGTAAAATTTTAGGATTCTAGATTAGGGGTCCAAAGGGGACAAGATGGAGGAAATTGGGTGTGCCTTGTCCTTTTCCTCCTTCTTCATGCCCTCCATGTTTCACTGTGGTGTTGGCATTTTTCTGTTGGTTTAGGCTGGGGACACACTGTTCAACGTAGATGACAGATATTGGCACATTATTGTAAATATAGCACAGGTAGTTTCTGGTATTTAATGTTTGTAACATCCCACTGAGGGCAGAGCCCCACACGCTGCCCTGCAGGACAGACCTGCCCAGGCAGGGCAGCAGAACATGTTAGAGATAAACAGAATAAGCAGCCTGGAAACCAGCACAGACAAATTATGGCTTCTTCTTTGGCAGCAGGGCAGAAAGACAGAGACTTTCTACAATCTCGGAATCATCAATACCTCAGATTCCGGCTGCCCCTCATAATTATTCCCTGCACGCCTGCGTTTTCTAAGGGGGAAGCCTCATAGAGTCGCTGGCAACTTGCATATTGGTGACTTCTGTCACGTCCCATGGCAGATTTTACAGTACAAAATCGCCTGTGCAGAGTGGAAGAAGAAAACGAACTAAGATCTGAAATAGCGCATAGAAAGCTTGCCAAAATAATATCAGCACCCTCATTAGCCTCCTGACAGCGGGAAAAATTCCTTCATAAAGTTGGGAAAAGCTTAGGAAAGATTTGTCAATTTAGGCTTCATGTTCGGCTATGATCCTGGCGAGGTTTTTGACGAGTTAAATGTTTCCAAACGCAATGTGGCTAAGGTGCTTCCACATACAGTGCGTATGCTGGGTTTTAATGGCTTGACCTGTGAAAAACGCCAATCCCTTGGTTTTTAAAAGTTTAAAAGTTTAATGATAATAAAATGGTTATAAAAATAATAATACAATTAGAGTAATACAGTTTAGAGTTAGGACAATTACAAGACAATAAAAAGCAAAGAATTACGGACGTCCAGATGCTCTCGGACACTAAGTCACGAAAAGCATAACTTGTGAACAAAGGAATCACCTTTAAACTAATACACTTGTTACATATTCATGCATCCTTTATGGTTATGCATACATTCTATTCTAAACAAGAAACTCTGTCTGTTGTATGTCAACTGTTTCCTTTAATCCCCATGGCGTCTTTGAGTCTGAGCAAGGCCTGAAGAAATCAGCTTCTTCTGATAAGAAGCCATAAATTCCTCTCCTTTGGAAGATTTAGGTGTTCCTCAAAGTGAATATCTCATTCCTAAAAAAAACTTTCCCCACATGCATAGTCTCTATTTTAACATTATGTTGTAACCTAAAACTACATTTAGCACACTACGTAAGTGAATTAATACAGCATAACTTTCTAACATTACACATATAATATTCATTGTAATATTTGCAAAAAGCCAACCATAAAATATGCATTTTTCACAATTCAGATGCGTGTTTTCATGGAGAAACAAAGTAATAATTTAGATCTGATTTATCTGAAATAGCAGTTTCTGTACTAAGAAATAAGTACTAGGCAATAATAACTATTCCTACCAGAAGTAGTTACAACTCTTTCTATATAGTGACAGTCTTTGAATTCTGTCATACATTTGCAGAAGTGCTTGCTATTTTGACTTTTTCACTGGTTTTCATCGCTAGGCAAGAGAACAGGGATTTTCAGCTTCTCTTAAACTGGATTGACATATCTTAATTTGGTTTAACTTGTCTTTTAGGTTATTCTAAAAGAATCATTAAGAATTACAGATGTTGTCAGGAATTCTTGTGTGTGGTCTAACCACGCATTACAAATTCTGCATGTTAAGGGGATCTTCCTGTGGATCTTACATTAAAGCTTATTCTATTAAAGGGGGGGGAAAGAAAGTCACAATTTTTTTTTTTTCTGATAACAAATCATCAAAATAAACACAGCATTTTATGCTGCTTTTACTTGGGTATGCAGATAAAATTAGCTCTGCTACTGAAGTCAGCAAAAGATGTCTTTAGGAATTTAAAACAAATCAAACCCACAGTGCATTTCCCAGCAATCCCCATACCAGTTATGTCCCTCCTCTTGTCACTTGCCAAACCATTCCTCAGCTGACTTTGGTTTTGATAGATCTACTCACCAGATGACTTAGAGATTTGGGATAGCACCCATTTACGGACAATCTCAGAAAATAACTTCACGCTGTGTCAGTCACATAACCTAAAAAAGCCCCAGAAATTTATGCCAGGTCACAATTTTCAATGTGCTTTTCATATTAAAAGTTCAGCAAACATGTTTGCATTGCTGATGTTATCTATATACGCCTCTCTAAGATCTTGGCATTTTCTTTATTGAAAGTGTATTTTTCCAAAGCATCTTAAAAATTGTATAGACTCCAAAGAGTTATGCACGTACTAGTTGTTATTCCCTTCTATATATTTGGAATTGTTCGTGGGGAATTAAGACACACTGTAGCAGTAATGTCCCACAGCTGCAAAGTCCCCGACTCTTCACATCTGTTTGATTCCTTGGTTTTTGTTTTAGGGTTTTTTTTTTAACAGCAGAAAGTTTGTGTCCAAAATTTGAAAGTCTCTACCTTTCCCTTGCTGAACTTGTGTGTTTTCTAAAAGTAGTACCAGAACCTTTATGTCATGTTCGGTTTCTCCATGAAAGCATTTGGTTCCATGGTCTGCAGCTAAGGAGAACTAAGCAGTTCCCCAGTTATTCCTCCAAATATTTTATAAACTTATCAGTTCATCACGTTCATTACAATTTAGCACAAAATATGCTATTTACTCAAAGATGGAACTTTACATGAAAACCAAATGCTCTTTTCAATTCAAGAGGGGAAACAAAAACAAACAAACAAAAAACAACCCAACAAAAACAAACAAAACCCCAAACAATTTCAATTGTTAAATGTAGTTGTAAATGCTGTGATAGTCTTACTGTGAGTTTATACATTTGACTTATCTACAGGCTCTTATGTGAATCTCTTAGGGTGCTGTGAAGATGAACTTTATTCATGCTTAGTATCTTGAGAATTTCAAAGAACAGATGATAACAATTCCTGAGCCTCATGAGGACTTCAGAAACCTGAGAGGCTTTTGATGTGTCCTGTTTTACTAGCATTTTTTCTTGGGCAATGTACTTTCCTGCTGAAAACTGGGTGGGAGGCAAAAATCCAGAGTTGCACAAGATATTTCCTTTGCTGTTTTAGTCTATTAACTTGCATCTGAAGAAAAACATATGACAGAGCAGAAAGGAAGAACTGTAGAAGTTTTTACTGAGCCATGGTTTTCAAAAATGGCATATTAAATAAGTATTTATTCCTGCTGGCACTTTTCAGCTTTTGAAAGGACCCAGTTATCGTCAGTGTTTTAGTCACGGCTTTTGGTGCGTACTAAGCAGGGAAAGTGAAAAATCTGCCTTGGGATTTTGCAAATATCTGCTGCTCTGGTAAAGTGAAGCAGGATGTAGCTGTCTCTGGGCTGTTCCTGAGACAGACATGGTGTAACAGGGCAGTGTGGTCATTTCACACAGACACCATTCCTGGGGGAAAGCCATTATGTGTGCAGACACACCGCAGTTTGTTGAGAGGTGGCCAGTGCAGACAGTACTTTCTTAAGGTTCTGAAGAGGGAGCAGCAGTCTCAGGTCACCTTTAAATGGCAAGGAAAAAAACACCTTTTTTTTTTAATACAAGGAAAAAAGTTTACAAGGAAATTCACAAGGAAACGGAAGAACTTCTCATGTTCTCTACCCCTGGGTGTGTAAAGGAGACAGATTTCCATATTACCTTCATTTGTCTGTCCCATGTTCTGGGGATGAGCCAGCCTTCCTCAGGTGTCATAGGAGAACACTCATGACTCTCCCACGTCAGCAAGGCCAGGATGTGGATGTGGCTTTCAGATGAAGTTTTGTTTGATCTCATGTGGATTTCATTTCATTTCAGTAGATTTGTGTATCAGTAAACAAGAACCATGTACCTAGTGACAGAAGAGATTGCTAGAAAGGTGCACTGAGGAATCCCTACAAAGGCATCCTTGGCTTTCAGAAGCGCCTGAGATCCTTGTAACAGCTGGGACCTGAGCCATTTTTCTTCTGGAAACAAATTTACTGTTGCAAACTTTTACTGTTTCTTACCATAGCAAACACTGTTACTCCTTCCCACCCAGCAAAATATGTTTGACTTTAAACACAGCCCCTTCAAGGTGGGTTGAAGAAAAGAAAGAATAAAAATTCCTGCATATTGCAGTACTGTGCCTGGGTTCCATACATCCATCCTGGGCTTGATCTCTCTTCATATCAGCAGCTCAGATCAGCTTCACATCAGAGTGCTTAAGTAATGTTCCTCTGAATATAGGAACATGTTTGTTTGGCACAAAGTGCCCCTGACACTTCAGAGAAGACTGATCTGCAGGTCTGTCAAGGAATCCCTGGGTACACAGAGGTCGCTGCTTCCCTGCATCCCACTAGCCCAACTGACACAGGTACACAGGTCCATTTAACATGGAATTCACAAAATCCCAGGATATTTTTCAACAGGAAAACACCTTTATTGCATCATATATTTCATTACATTATCATGAGAAATCCACCTCTCTACATACAATTTTCCACAGCAGAATAATGAAAATTAGTTATTCTTTATGAGTTATGACATTATGTCATACAAGTAGACATAAAATGTCTAAGTCTCTCCGGAACATTTACTGTTCCTTTAGATCTTGTGCATAAACACCAAATATTGTAATGTAAATTAATTTAAAAACAAACCAACTAACCATCCTCAACATTATCTGGTTAAAAACCAAACCAGTCATGGCACAAATGCCCGCAATTTCATAGAAATTATTAAACTCCTCTAAGTATTGAATAGGGGAAAAAATACTTCAGGGGGAAATCTGTGATTGCATTAGACAGTACATTGGGCAAAAAGGTCTGAGGTGTTCTGCGTTAAAGGCTGGAGAGTTGGAGTAGGAAAAAGAGATTCAGCAAAACATTCTTGCCTGAACCAGATTTTATTCCCATGTAATCCTGAACAGGCACTGAAATATTAAGTGCCAGACAGCACTCTTGATATTCCTGATGGAAGGATTACCCCTAATCATCGGCACAATCCATTCAAACCCCTCATGGCACACTCTCTGCGGACATTTGCAAACTCATCTTCATGATGGGCCCATCTTCTTTTCAGATATTAAGGCTGTTTTATAGGAACTTATTAGCAAGCAGTATTTGGCAAGAAGGAGCTGGCACAAAGGTGGAGCAAGTTCTGAGAAGGTTGCTGAGAGGCGTCCAGCAAAGCTTCCATTGTCTTATCAAATGGATTCAATCACTTTATCTCAGTCAATAAAACCATTCATAGGATTAGGCAATAACAAATATGAGGAGAGGGAATGAAAAATAGAACATCTGATCTACAAACCCATCAAAACTAGAGAGCTGAGCTATTGTGGTCTCATAGCATCTGTTTCCTGGTATCTTGTGGCAAGCAGGTAGCTTCATTCCAAGGTGCTCCTTCCCTCACTCAGGGCTTGGTGGATGAACTGCAATAGGCAGAATTCAAATTGTAAAGCCAGCCAGGAAAACTCAATAAGTTTTCTTGCATACACGAGATACTAAATCCCATAGGAGGTGTGGAAAAGATGCCTGATGGTGATGATGGAACATACTGTGGCTAGATTTCCAATTAATCAGGCATTTCTTATGGATACTCTCCCTGACAACCTGCTGGGCTGTCTCTTCCCCAACAAAGAAGCGCTTTCTGGACACACTTTTGGTGTAACTAAGCAGAATTTTCCTACAGGAATCAATAACAGAATGTGGCTCATTACTCTGGGGTAAACCCCTTCAAAATAAGTTTTGCCCCGAGTGCTGGCGACAGCTGGCCGGGCAGGTACCTGCGGAGGATCCTGGTGACCAGGAGCTTGACCCAGGGTGCGGCGGGGTCCAGGCAGACCAGCTGTCCCTGCTTCAGCGTGGCTCTGCGGGCGAGGCAGGGAGGGGGTGAGACCGGGGCCGGTTCGGTGAGACCGGGGCCGGTTCGGTGAGACCGAGACCGGGGCCGGGCACTTACATGACCTCGGGCACGGCGCAGTGCGGTCCCTCGGCAAGGAACTCCAGGCGGGCCAGGCGCCGCGGCGGGATCACTTCGGACACGGTCCGCACGCAGCGGCAGCGCAGCTCCCCGGCCAGCGGCGCACCTGGCAGGCAGGAGGAGCCTTCTGAGCCTCGGCTCCGCGGTCCCCCGAAACCCCCGGCACCCCGACGGTGCCACGGATGGATGGGTAACCCCTGCTCCACCGCTTACCTTGGCATAGAGCAGCGACGGCCAGGAGGAGGAGGAGGAGGCGGAGGTGCGGTTTCATGGCTGATGCTGGCGGCGGAGAGGGTGCAAGAGTCGGCGAGGCGGCCCCCTTTCCCTCCCGTGCTTTTATTCCCTGTCGGGAGCTGCCGGGGAATTTCCCGGAGCGGACCCGGGGGGCAGCGCCCCGTTGGCTCCTTTCCACCGGTGGGTGTGTGCCGCTGGAGGAGCGAGGCTGCCGGCACAGCGGCTCCTTCAGGTTCGGGAGCGAGGGAAGCGTGGCGCTGCATCCTCCCGAGAATGGTCCAGCGTCTGCTGGGACCCCAGTCTCCCAAAGGAGCGGCGGCTTTTCTGTGCGGGTTCTCCGTTAGCTTCCAGGGTGCAAGGTGCTGAGCCAAAGAGGAATTTGGGTTCTGGAACTTGCCTTGTTGCTGAACCCTGTGCAACCACGCACTCTTATTTAGTAGGCATTGCTCCCCTTAGCGCCCCTTTATTTGCCTAGCTTTTGAAAACCGGAAATCTTCTTTTCCTGCGACTAGGAGACCCTCAGGTTTCCATACCTATGCTTCCACTACTCTGCACACACAAGTCACTCTTTTTCTTCATTCTTGTCAAGGCATTTTGCCAAGTTCAGTTATGAAGAAGCAAAATAGCAGTTTTCTATGAGCTTTTAATGAAAATGAGATGCAGGTTTTTAAAATTTTATTTACACATAGGTTCAGATTCTAGTAAGAAATATAATATTGCACTTTATTTGTCATGTCTTTTGGGTTTGGCTTGGTTTTTTTGTCATTGTTTTTTTTTGTTGTTGGTTTTTTGTGTTTTGGGGGTTTTTTTTTGGTTGTTTTGTTGTTGTTGTTGTTTTGTTTTGTTTTGGTAGCCCATCTGTTTTCTACCAGACTTTTGTGAACATGAGTGAGGTTCAGCAAATCAATTTGTTCTAGGGTCAGGCTGCCATGTGTCTTGCCTTAGATTAGATGTACTGTCTGAGAACAAAACTGAGTCAGGGCCCAAAATAGATAAGATACCACGTGTAAAGCAGTCGTAAAAAGGGATTAAGTAGATAGGAAGCTGATGGGACACAAAGACTCTAATTCCTGGCCTCCATCATCTACAGCTCATACTGCTTCATACAGCTGCTGGCTTAGTCCTTCAGGAGATCAGCCTTGCAGGAATATTATATGTCACAAGCAAATGGTGATTGCCCCACATTATCAGGAAATATCTAATGACTAATTTGGACTAAGATGCAGCTTGATAATGATAGCCTTGGAAGCATCTGGCTTTTAGTTTAGTCTTAGAAGGAAGCTACATGGTCAGCTTAGGGGAAGCCACTAATCAGAAACCTTTACTGAGATCCCGTGAGATCATGGAGGTGGAATCACCATTCCTTCCGTGTCATAGCCACCCAAGCCTTGGACTGTGAGTTCCCCTTATGGTTGTCCCAAGGAAGCACCGTGCTCTTTGCAGGAAGAAGGATTTGCCCAGCTGTAGCAAACTGAGGCAACAAGCAGGTAGGACGGTGCAGACACAATCTGCTTCAGGTCAGTGCAGCTATCATTGGCAGATCCAGCTCTGAGTGGATGTGGGGGGCAGATCATTCATTGTCACTCGTGCGCAGTCAGATTACACATTGCTCTTGGACAGTACACATGAGTAAGGACAGTTTACGTGACAGCATTTGGCTTTATGCTTGCATGACTGCTCACAAGAACTGACCCGTGGGACTCATTCCACAGTGGTTACTGCTGAGGAAATTCCAGATGTCTCCTGGGGTCTGGAGTGTGAGGCTGTGTTTAGATATGGAGCAGCAATGTGTGAAACTCTGCGGCCAGCTCTCCCTCAGAGCCGTGTGCCAAAAGGAGCAGCAGTCGGGTCATGGACATGCTGCGGTGCAGCAGATGGTAAGAGCCTGGTCCTCTGAGTCAGTGCTTGCACAAACAGGCCTGGAACAAGGGAAATGGGTGTCTCCTGGCACTATTTCAACATGCAAGACTATCTGCCTGAGTGTGGCTTTGTACCTGAAGACTTCAGATTGCTTCTGGATCCCTTCTGTGGGAATGTGAGTCAGGTCTCTTCAGTCCAGATGACAGCAGCAACAAGGCTGAGCTGTGGAGGAACTCTCTTGAATTATACCCATGCCCTGTCTCCCTTCACCACCTTTGCCAAAGTTCCTTTAGCAAGTATGGAAAAGATAGGGAGCAGACAGCATCACTTTAGAAAGCTGAGATTTTCCCCTGCCTGCTGCCCTATCTCTTTCATTTTAGATAAGTTTGCCATGCACTGAGTGCAGGTGGTACATATAGAATCATGGAATGGTTTGGATTGGAAGGGGACCTTGAAGGTCATCTTGAATTAAGTTTAAAGTAGTTATTGTGAGTGGTGGTATCAGTGTAGCTGGGACAGAACTCACCACAAGGTTTGTATCTGCCTTACTGAAGTTTTCATTAAGTTACCCACCTCTGTGTGAAGATACACCAGAATTCCATGATTCCGTGAAATCTCTCAGTGTCCTTAGCATGGGTCTCAGGGTTACCGGGACACAGAAAGCAGTCCCAGCTCAGGCAGGCCCTGAATAGGTACGTAAAGAGAATAAACCTCATGGGTCATTTGCCTTCGCATTATCCAGTCCTTAACTGATTACATGCAGGAAGTGATTTGGTTGCTTTGTCACAGATGGCTGCACGCCTTTCTACAGCAGGTATTTATTTGGTTTGGCACCTGTAGTGGGAGCCATTCACTGGCAGCAGGTCCAGGAGAGCTACAAGACAAACAAGAGATATCTCATTTCAACAAGTGAGGACTTCTCCTAAGTGCACAAGAATTACTTTGGTGGATGTGTCCCAGATACAAGCATAGGGTGAACTCTCATCATGGCCTAGAAACCATTTAACATGGCCAGTCTATGAAGGAGCAGTCTTATTTCCTCCAGGATTTTGATTAGGAAAGATTTATGTTCTGATCTGTGAAATGGTGAGTCACTGCTACCTAGTACAGAGGGTATGGACTGCTGATATCCTCTCATCGTCATCATGTTACCTTTCTTACCTATACCAGTCTGCTTCATAGTATTCCTTGGCTATGATGAGGTACTGCTCCCTAGCACCTATGATTCTTCCCATGGATCTAGCTCTGTCATGAAGTACAAACATATTTGCTGGAGGCAGAAACCAAATTTCAAGCTACAGTTTCATGCAAAGTAAGTTTTATATCTATCAGATATTTTATTTCCTTCAATTTCCCTGTGTGTTTCTCAAGTTTTGAAACGTTTCCAGTCCATATACCCTTGATAATAGTACCAGAATAGATAAGAGATTGAAGTGTCCTGCTGTTTACCTTGTGTCATGGAGCATCCCCACTCCGTTTTGCCAGCTGCATCATGGCACATGTCACACATTGTTGCGTGCTCATTTCTGTAATACCTTTTGAGATGTGAAAATTCACATTTAAAGTAATGACCTATAGCAAATGATGCCCAGTATCTTACCACCCTCCTTCCTGCATCTTTACCTAACTTTAACATCCAGGAACCCTTAGGTTTTTTTGTTTCCCTTCCCCAGAATTAGACGTTCTTCATCCATGCCCACTGCTGGGAATCGGAGCGTGAACACGCACACACACTGTTGATAGCTGAAAGGAATGTGTTTGTATTACTCAGGCATTATCTTGGCAAATAGAACATGTTGGCTTTGAAATCTGTGTGTTTGGCCATAATTTCTCTGTTTTTCAGTTTCAGGTGCCAGCTGACCTTTTCTGAGATCACTGATGGGACTGCAGAGACTGTGGTTTCACTGTCACCTTTCTAAGCGGGACTCCTGCATGTACAGCAATTCCCAAAAAGTGAGTGGCTGGTGGTGCACTCACTGGTTCTGCTATTTTACACTTAACATATAAGCACAAAAAAGGCTTTATTTTGAGTTTGGGACCTAAATGTTTAAGCAATTTGTTTTTACCTCTGCTGAGGGGGAAGAATCTCCCGGCATTTTAATGACAGATCCTGAACAAAGATTGCAACTGTATGACTCCTTCCACCATAATTGTTCAGCTGATAAGCCTTTGAGGTCATCACAGCTTCTGAAAGGCAGAAAGAGTTACTCTTGGCCTTAGCAGCAGCAGGAAATGCTCTTCATCCTATGAACTTCCTGCAAGCTTTTGTCCCAACTTTCGTGAGAACTTCTTTGTAACAAAGATTTCGGCCAACTTGTAAATGATCCATTTGGAAATAAATACAATAAAATTTGTTCCATCTGCAGAGAGTTGGAAGTAAAGAAAATATGAATCTCTTAAAAAATTAATTATTCACCCCAAGAAAACCAAATCCAAGGCCCCAAAACCAACATTCCCCCTAATATGGCTTAAGGCAATTGCAGTTTTCAGACTCAGTGGAGCTGAGTAATTTTTGGGAGTGTGCTTTGGATAGTTGTGGTCTTTTGGTTAAAGTGATATCATCACTTGGGAAAACAGTGACACGAGACATCTGACCACAATAAAACAGGAATGCTCACTGGAATAATCACAAAATCTTTAAAGTCTTCTCTCATGACACTCAGACTTCAATCCTGTCTGTTACTTTCATTGCTTGTGTTGCAATGAAGGAAAAACGAAGAAGTCATACTTGACTTACACCCTAGGAGACACTAAAGCTGCCATTCAGGGAACACTTTCTTACAGCCCTTTGACTGCCATGTGCAGATTCAGTCTCCAGTGTATTTGTACTCTGCAGTAAAATAAATTTGATTGTTCCTGGTAACAAAAAATGGCTGCTATTTGCTGGAAGGAAGGAAAAATAATTAATACCAATGAATTTGCCAACTTGTCACTGAATTATCCAAAATAATCTACAAAGTAGCAAGAGGGACATGCATCCTTTCGGCTTGTTTTAGGGAGGTATTTAGAGAAGGAGATGTGTGGAGGAAACACACTGATAACATTTTTGGTAAATGTGATCACCACTGAGTTTACTGTCAACGGTTTTCTTCCCTATTATCTTGTATTTCTTTCTTTTTTCCCTTCCTTTTTTTTAAAATTCCCAGACAGTGTGACTCCAAATTGCTTCAATACACGCAGGGTACAGGACTATGCCAACACATTGCGCTAAATGTTACGGCAACAAACATGAGCAAAGCATTTTTTATTTCTTAAGAACTAAGAAATTGAAATTGCTAGTGAGTGCTGCTGTCAGGAGTCTGCTGAGGTGGAAGGAGAGTAAGCAAACTAGGAGCATTCCATGGAAAACAGGCTACTGAAAAAAAGCAACACTTGATTTAATTGAAATTCAGCATTTTTAACTTTGGTTTTCTTCTAAACAGTGAAAGTCCCCATAAAATTAAATTGACCAGGACATTGACTGAAAAGAATAATTCTGCTTAGCTCCAAATACTGTTTTGCTGCAAGCTAAGATTGGTTTAATTTAGATTAATTTTGCCCTTAGCGCTTGAATACAAGCTTGAATTTGACAAAATCATTGCTTTCTAATGAGGTTCTTTTTGGTTTGTTCAAATCCTCATTTTTTCTAGGAAGCACTATTCCACCAGCAGCCTTTTCATCTGGATGGCTCTGGCTTGTATTCCTGGTACCTGGTTACACCATTTGAAAAAAACCATACAGAGTACTTTTCATGCATTTTCTTCTTCTTCTTCTTGTTTTTTTTAATAGTCGTTATAGAAGACATTTCATGCTCCCCCTCATCCTTTCCTACAAGCAGTAACAGTATTGTGAGAACTTATTGGCATGGAAATGACTCCAGCATTTGACCTGCCAACAGGTCAGGTGTGTGCAGGTAGATTGACAGCTCTTTCCCATGTTCCTTCCTCAGCTGAGTCTCCTGCTGGCTTTGGTGAAAGATTTGTGTATGCAAAAACCACTTGGGTTTTCTTTGGTGGTATCAAGGAATGGGTGAAGCTGCAGTGTTCAACACGAACCAGATACAACAAAGCCTGTTTTCTTTGGCTCTTCTCATTGAGACTGTGCTCACGGTGAGCAGTGCTTACGTCAATTGCTTCTCTTTCGCAGGATGACGGACTTTGCTGTCAGAGGTGAAGTACCAAACAGAGAAGAAAGCAGAAAATGAGGAGCTGATGGAATTTTTGACCACAGGGATGCAGTAAGTCAGCAAACCTAGGTTTATGTGCTTTATTATTAGTCTTCTGTTGGCAATGTCTGGCTCAGCAATGAACCAGCTGGGTGGCTGTGCATTCCTTTATTGGCTATTGATAAGTCAAACACAAAGATTTCAAAGAGTCAGGCTTTTTGATAAGTCACTTGCTCTTCACTCTTTGTATTGAGTGACTAAGAGCCTTTCATGCAAACATCTGACACCTGCATGGACAAACTCTTACTTTTCAGTAAGAGCAATGGATGGCAGGGGGTGTTTCAAGTTCTGCTCTTTGGTCCTTTTCTGGGCTTAGTATATCTTGCTCCTCCTTTGCTTTCTACTTTTGCAAAAGCCTGACCAAAGGGAGAAAGTCACTCATCTGTTGCTTATGATTATCTGCTGCTATGGCAGGTGGCTGTGCTTTCTGAGTACCTGTGAAAGCTGGCTTTCAGCTAGAAACCTTGCCTTTTAGCTGCACTGTAATTTCTTCATCTGTGCCTGTGATTTTCCCCCACACATATTCTCGCACATTTTTATTCCTTCAAGATGTTCTGCATCAAGTAAAAAAGAAGCCCACGTGGTCCATCCACTCATTCGCATGTCCTGTCTCACTCTTCATGAAATCTGCCGCTGATGCTTTAGACACACTTCACACAGAAATGGTATTTCAAGCTTTTGCAATTTTATTTACACTTTGGCTTTAGCACAACAGTTGAATTCTGATTCTCCCGTCTGCTTGCACACTTGTTAAAAATGTGACCTTGAAAACAGAAGAGGAAAAGAAGAATTGTAAGTGTCTTGGAAGTCTCCTTTTCTTGGCGTAAACCTGTAATACATGTCTTTAATAAAAGAATCAGGCTATGAGGGTGGACTTATTCATTTGCTTGTCTTTTGAGCTATGAATCTTTCATCATTCTGGAAAATTATTTCAAGGAAAAAGCTATAAATTGTGAATTTTAGGAGTGCAGTGAGAATGTTACTTCAGAGCTTAAAAATTATTTTTCCATTTAGCTGAGTCGAAAAAACTACTTAACTCTCCTTCTCAAAAATTGAAGACTCCTTTGGAGGTAAGTTGATTAACTGGGTCCAAATATGCTCTCAAGCCACTTGCCGAACAACTTCTTATTTCCACTGATTTTTATAGGGTGTCTACGTATGAAAATGTTTTATGCAAAAGATAAAAAGGTTAGATTTCCCCCAGTTCACCTGACCTCTAGTAAGGAATGGGAGAAATCAACAGACTGATACTGCAGTTGCAATGTGCACTTTGAGTGGTGCAGTCTAACTTTACACTTCTGCTGGTGTCCTTGGCTGAGTCGGTGGAGATGGGTTCAGGAAAGCTTGTGCAACCCTTTTCTTTCAAAAAAATATTGATCACATTTCTCATTAATTTGAACTTACGTGAATAAGTGGGTGTATCAGAGGTTGATGCTTGTTAAAATAAATAATATTTGTTAGTGATGAAAAGTTATTCAGCATAGTTATGTTGAAATCTGCCTGCAGAAGGTTGTAGAGATGTCACACCGCTGTCTGTTTCGTGAAAGGGCAGAGGAAGCAGTATCAGTGAGCCTGGTTATGCCTATAACCTCCCAGATTCTTCCACAGAATCTTCCTCCCCAGAATTCCACAGGAATTGTGAAGTAGGCTTTGCACTGACTGACACCAATGGTTGTTACTTGAAGTAATTTAACTGCAGGTAATATGAAAGTCAATTTTCATGACAGTTTTCAAGAGCAGAGATCTCAGGCTTATTTTTGTAGGTGGCAAAATTCTTGTTTCACTTGTGCACATAGAAACAAAATGCCTATTCGCTGATCCCAAAGTTTCCATGGCAATTTGTGTCATTTCCAAAGGATCCACTTCCTGTAGAGTTGCTTATGATATCTTGTTATAAACAAGAATAAATGCTTGAAACACATCTACGATATAAAGTCTGTCCTATGTGTAATTTTCCTGGGGAAAATGGGATTTTTCCCTTGTTTTGTGATAAGAGCATAAGAAAAACAATCATTTTAGAATGGGAAGCAATCCATAATCAAAAGCAAGTAAAGCACAGATCATGCGTTTGTCATCTAAGACAAAACCAGGATGTTTATGTTAGCCAATATTCAGCACAGACAGAGAAATTGAGGCTGAGAAACTCATGCTTGCATTCCCTGTACTTCTAAGGAAGAGTTAGAAGTATTTTTCAGGGACTTTCCAGTATTTCTCTTCATGACTTCCTCTATAGTTTCTAGTGTTTATACATTAGAGAGAAATATACTTTCATTATTACAAGGACAGCAACCACAGACACTTGAGGGGACAACTTGCAGTTCTCCATACAAGAGCAGAACTCCAGCAATCAGGCATGAGAAGGGGAGCTTGAGGATAGGGAAATGACCAGAAGTCATTGCTTGGTCAGTTGATAGTTGCCACTTCTCTTGCCTCCCAAATGAAAGAAGGAAATAAAAGTGGCTTGAAGGGAAGGTAAAGTAAGGGGCCAAGAGAATAGCAAAGGACAGAAGGGATATGTTAAAACATCTCTGCTGCATTTCATTACATGGAAGGCACTGAAATGAAAGGGAAGTGATGAATGCACACGGCAGCTGTAAAGTGGAATGGTCTTCTGACAGTCTTGTAGAAAGACAGTTTAGATGCTAAATGAAGTGACCGAGGGGAGCAGAATCTTTCACGAGGTTGGGAAAAGGAGGAGATGGACAAGAGCACGTAGTTAACTGCAGTGAAATCTCAGGGTCCATCCTTTCCCTGTGATGCTGATGTCCTGACCCTTAATCACCCACTGGCCAGCTGCCTTCTCTGTTCCACAGACGTGAACATGTACCCACACAGACACTGACTGCACGGTTTGCATGTTTCTAAAGTGTGCATTTCTCCCCTGCCAGAACTCTTCCAGCTGATGCCAAAATAACAATGGTGAAGAAGAGGATTGGTATCACGCTTACTGAGACGGGTCTTCAAGAAAAAAACAAGCCAGAGACAGCTGTCTTATTTTATGATCATGAAGTTACTTCTGCTGTTTTATTACTATCTAGATTGTAGATAAAAGTGAAATAAGAGTGTGCATCCCTCAAGTAAACATTTATGCTCTAGTTAAAAACAATAGTTTTTAAACTTATGCCCTTTCTCTCTTATTCTCTGTTTCCCTCTGGAAGGTTTTTAAGAGAGGCAGGCATCATGTGTTCAGCACACTGCACTTCAGGGATCAGAATAGGAAGCAGTTGTTACACCAGGACAAGTGCTTGCTCTTTGGGTACCCAATGTAAAGGTCACAAATTCCCAGTTCAGATGGTCAGATAGTGGCTTTTTGTTGTAGTAAAGATTTACAACTGTGAGGCTGAAGTGGATGCCTAGTGGTGTTTAGGCATCTGAGGGTAAAACCTTTTTATCTGTGAGGGAATTAAAGAAGGGGCCTTGCCCTAGAGCCCACCAGTCCCCATGGATTGGGAACAGCCTGAAGAGAGGAGAGTGAGCCACTTAGCCCACCTAAGAGTCTGTCAGTGTAATCAGGAATGCCAGGTTACTGTAAGAAGGGAGCTATGGCACCATGGACTTAAAAATTTTCATTTCAGTTCCAGAAATCAGTCTGGCAAAAATAAAGCAGGATTTTCAAATGAAGAAAATGAACATTTAAAAGATCAAACTGATAACAAATGAGTTTTTTATATATAAAACTTTTAATAGTACATTTTTAGGAATAATTACACTCTCATATTCAAACTCTAGGTACGTAAAATGCGATTTTTTCCATTAGCTGATGGGGTAGCTAATTAGACATACAATCAAGTACAGAGTAATGAGATTGTGAATATTTCTCCAGAAATGAAAAAATCCAGTAGAAATTAAATAAATTATAATTGTTTGCTTTCTTACATAGCAACTCCTCAATAAATACATTTATAAATACCATGGAAATCACAATACATAAATACCAAATACAGCGTTACACATTCTGTAGGTTAGGTTTTTCAAATTAGACATTACAGTTCACAGTCTGGCCACAGGCTGACTGTGGTTCAGGAAGCTGTTGTTGACACAACATACTGGTGTGCTCCAGGGGAGCAGGAGGATTCATCAGTTTGCTGGTGAAATAGCAAAATTATCAGGTTTAGTGTAAATAAGCTGTGCTGAGGGTGCATTGCACCTCACTGCATATGTTTGGCTAAAGTGGCTGCCAAAGGTTCTCAATATCCTTCAGCAAACCACTTTTCCTTCAGTGTCACGAGCAGCATATCCCACGGACAACACTGACCATAGCAAAAGACTTCCTTAAATACACACAGTTAAATAAATAGATAAATAAATAAAACCTTCCATAATTAACATCATCACATTGATGCAGGATGTAGAAGATGGTGCACTGCTTGAATGATGCTTTTCCCAAACGTTTCTCTTGACAGAGGAGCAGAAGCAGTTCCCACATTTTTTCTGTCCCAGTGTTTCTTAGAGAGGAGAGTCAGAATTTTGTTCAGCCCTGTTAAGAGGTGAGGGAAGAGAATAATTTAAAAGGAGGTTTAAGTTACCACTGCTTAACATTGCTCAAACAATTTAGGATGTGAGGTCTCTTTCCAATTCTTTGTGCTATCTTGTGGCACAGGGAGAATAAAGTAGATGTTTCAAAAGCAACTGGTGAAATGCCAGTGCATACATGCCTGGTGTCCAGCTGGGAAACCTCTGCAGCACAAGCTTCTGCAGTTCCTCACAGCAAGAGCCTTGTTAGCTCAAAAATAGCAACTAAGTAAGGGGAAAATGACTTTTTTAAATCCTTTTTTTTCTCAAAGGGAGAAAAACATTTCTGTGCTTCCCTGCAGATAGAGTTGCTGGTACTCAGAGATTTAGTACAGACATACCAGCTTGAGCAAGTACCCTGAAGCACAGCCAGAAAAACTAAGCCCAATTCTATAGTTGAGCAGGAAACTTCCTTGTTCTTTAAATCTGATTTTTAAAAAATGGGAAGTATCGCTATGGAATCCTACAAACTGGCTTTTTCTGGGAGGTTTGGCACTTAACTGCTCAGACAGACAGGGAATGGGACTTACTTGGCCAAAATTGCCTTTACAATCAGCTGTACCCAGGGAGCAGTGGGTTCCAAGCACACCTCTCTGCCATCCTTCAGAGTAGCTCTGCAAAATAGGGAATAAAGAAGAGTCAGGAAACTACTACATGCATTTGTTTTACTCACAGAATGTAATCTTGCACTTTTAGATCAGATAGTATAAATTCATCCCAGCTACTCTATGTTAGGCTTGGCTCTTTTGCTTTATGTGTTGAACAACTGAGGAGATCATCCAGAATTTTGTGAGTCTCTGTGTCTGCTCTCAAACACATTTCCAAAAATCTTTCCCTCTATATATGAATACTTATTTTGGACATGTTTATATTACTAAAGCTTCCTTCACAATTGAAACCTCCAGTGGTGAAAAGGTGTTTGAACAGATAAGGATCTTAACATTTTAGTGCCTGTGTGCTGTTCAGACCAGGTTAGGCTGGTTCATTGTTTCCCTAAATCTGCTTATTGGAACTTAGTTTTTCTTCTTGAATCTGCCTGCCTCATAAATGCAGGATTCAAACTACATCATTACCTTGTGTACTAAGACCTGACAAGTCCATGAAATTCATGTTCTGCTACCAGGATGTTTCACTTAAAACCATCCCCCTCACAATAAAAGCCAAGTCTGGCTGCATGAGGTCAACATGCTGACTGTGGTACTTGTGAAACATAAAAGCCCAGCAGCAGTGTCAGTAGTGCAGGAGAAGAGGAAGGAACCTCTTGCAGAGCTACTTACATGACTTCAACATTCTTGCAGTGGGGGCCGCTCTGTGTCAGCTTCACATCTTGAATGGATTTCGGGGGAATGAACCTGGAATGAGTGGCTATGCACTGGCACCGGAGCTCGGTTCCCATCCTTGCCAGGGTCCTACCTGGGAGCAGAAAAGAGAGACTGGGATTTGACAGGTGCTCTTACGGTCCATTATCAGACATAAAGCACAGCTGCTCTATTGTAACAACATTCTCATTTAAAACACTGCATTTGTCCAAGCTATCTAAATCCTCACGTTACGAGGGAGAGTTACATAGATTTCAGGGGAGCCGATGCCCAAGTATGTTGGAAACTAAATTAACAAATCTTTTAAAAATGAACCCACGTATTTTGTGGTTAGTAACCATACTGACTACACGATATGTTTAACTGCATTGTTTTAATATCTGGATCAAAAAACTTGGCCGCTCTGCAGAAGACAGAGCCCTAGATTTGTTCATTAGTTGGAGGTTTGCCCATGTTTCTGTGTTCAAATTGTTTGCTCTCCATTTCCTTGCTTGAGGTGGCATGGCCACTAAGCAACAAATACGAGATTATAAACTGCTATTTGTGTGGAAAGGGAGAGAAACTCCAGAACAAAAATCTGTCTCTAGCCACATACACTCCAATAGAAACAGAAACAAAGCAAATGCAAGTTGCATCCTTAAAATATTTCCCACAAGATGTCAGTAACTCTTCAGTCCAAGGTCTACATAGTAGATTTATGATTGAAGAGAGGTGCTGCAAATCTCCCAAAAGAGACTAATTTAGTGAAACAAATAGAAAGTTACTCTGCAAGGACAAGCATCTCAGTTGATGCCTCAGTAAAATTGCAGCCAAGGGGACTTCGGGAAGCTTTGCTTACCTTGAGACACAGCTGCTGAGATCAGGAAAAGAGCCAGGATAGCTACGAGTTTCCCGTTCATGGTTGGACAGGAGTTGTTTGGTGGCTAGTTTAGGTCTAATTCTGTGAGCTGGAGTCCCAAAGGATTGTTGATTCCTGCTGTGTGTGGGGATTGTTGATTCCTGCTTATATACTGTTTTGTGCCCAGCCTCTGTACTCTGGTGGCATGGAGATTGCGTTAGAGGAATTTCCCAGATGCAGTAAAAATGAGTCACATGACTGTTGTGAAACTCTTCCTAGATGACGAGGAATTATTTTGCAGATAATGATACAATGCATTAATTTATTAAAATATGTCTATAATAGTCACACATTCCAATTATTTCGGTAGACTTGTAAATTTTATGCTTTTTCTAAAGCATATCCTTATTTAATAATGCAACTTTGGAATGGTTTCAGTTACATTTATGTTGCCACATTATTATTTTCTTCAGGGTTATAACTGTTCTTTGTAGATGTATCAGGTCTACAGTGGAGATACTGAATTTCTTATTCCCACTTATGGTGACAGCTTCTGCTCACCTGATACAAGCCACCAGAGTGGAATTCAGGCAGTGCTGAAATTACTGAGAAGCTCTTTACTGGGTCAGGATTTTACCTCAGCATTATTTTGATGTAAAAGATTTTAATTTTAGTCTTTTTTCCCCTCTGTTTAAGAGGCATGATACAAAGTAAATTCATCACTAAATTTTGTGTCTAACAAGGAATTGAGGCTGCAGTATTCAAAGCTTTCTGTGGGAAGCAGATACTGAATTCTGAATGGATTTGAAAATCATGCCTGTACTTTTCATGTTACACATTAATGAATTATAAACAGAGGAAACTTTATATGCAAACTAATCAGTATGACCAGCTGAACACAACTGATTTTCTCCTTAAGTCCAGACATTTTTAATAAGTATTTTCTGAAATCTTTTCAGTGTCAGCAACCTATGTCCTAGCAAAGGGACAAAAGAGTGAGAGTTATGGCTCTGTACAGACTTTTCTGTTAGAGAACCTTGTTTTATGAATGCTGAGCTTTCATTTGCTGTGGCTGGGGATAATACCTTACAAGGGAGATGATTCCAAGGGAGGACGGGCACAAATGCTGAACTTTTGCTTGAATTAAGATCTGTATTTTGAAACCCAGCTAGAATATGTGTGATCAGGAGAAAGCCTTCTGTTTCAGTGCAATAAGAACATCATCCTTTTGACATGACTAATGTTGCTGCTTGTTGTCTTCAAACTCAAAGCTCTGTGGTTTTAGGATACGTGGATTGAATGAGGTACCTCTTCCTAAATTTGGGGACTTCATAAGAACTCAATCATCTTTAGCATGTAAAGCATTGCAACTTATTTACTGTAAGAATGGAATAGTTTGCCCATAATTTATTGTCGTTTCCTTGTATCACACGTCATTAACTTGGTAAAAAGACCTTTGTGATAAAAATTAATTTGTTTCCTATCACTGTGTGGGCTGCCCCAGGAAAAGATCCAGCAGCTTTTTCTCTCCTACCTCTCAGTATTAAGTTGACAAAAGATACCAATTCTGACTCCTGATGGTGCTGCTCCTTAACGGTGTCTCTTAAAGAACTTCAGTGAAAAATACATTTACTTCTCTGGAGGTGTGAACCAGGAGAGGGTTTTGCTAGGAACTTAGGGTTATGTTTTATTGCTTATGTTCTATTATGATGTATATGTTGTGTTATATTAATGTATGGTTTCACTAGTGCCAGATTGTAGATGTTGGAGTTTTAACCAGTTTACTTGGAAGGTTTTGCTGGGTTTTTTTCTTTTGATTTCTCTCTGTGTCTCCACACATGTATGCACACACACTGAGGTTAAATTAACATTTGATTAGAGATCACACTTTTCTTAGTTAATATTTGCAGCCTTATTATATCATTTTGGTGTGTGCTGAAATGTTATTAATATCAGAGGAAATAAAAGAGAAATCCCCTTCAAATCCCCAAGTGAAATCAGTGAACACTTGTGCTCGTGACCACCAGGCTCAGCTATTTCCTGAGTGTGGCAGTAACAGATCTGCAGAAATCCCCAGGGCAAAAGTGAAGCCAAGAGCCTGCTCCACCTATGATGAGCCCTGCCCTGAACTAAGAATGAGTATCTGTCCAAAAGAGCAGTTTGTTTGTAATTGAATATAAACCCCTGCACTTTGTCACCAAACTTACAGTTTCATTGGGACTGTGTGAAGGGGGAGTAAGAGAAACAAATTGAGGCGTGAAAATGTCGAGGCATGAGGTCAAGCCCAAAGGCTAGGCACTCCTAAGCTGCATTTCTGGGAGTGCCATATTTTGCCAGAGTTCTCCCTACATCCCTTCAGCACTGTGCCCAGGATCTCGTCCAGGCTTTTGTCATGGGAACTGCAAATCCATTATGGAATTCTGGCAGCTTGTTTCCCTGACAGCCATCAGAGATGACTTGTGCAGATGGAATTGCTGCTCCTTTGGAAGGATCGCGTCACTGAGTGAGCTGATACTGCCGCGAGCAGAGGCCTTCCATGCAAAACCCTGTAAAAACCACGCTGGCAGTGAACAAAACAACGCTTACACAACAGTCTGACTACTGAAAGACTGCTGAAAAGGAAGCAAATACCTCCTGTGCCTATGTTCTAAGGCAGGATATAGCTGGTGTTCCCTACGTTGCAGGATGGAAACTAGTGGTTTGTCATGACTCATCAGCTTGTCTAATAAGCACAAAAGTCAAAAGGGCATCTTTTAGGATCTTGGCTGGGATCCGTTAATCTTTGCATGTAGCAAGGGATGCCCCTGCACAAGGGACACAATAAGGGGGATTCAGGTGTACTGAGGCTGAGCTTCAGTCCATTTCTAGTTTGAGTCGCTCCAGGTCCAGAGGAATGCTCCAGCACCTGGGCTGATGAAGTTACTCTGACAACATTAAAAATCAGTCTTGTTTTAGACAAATTCCATCCTCTCCCTTGAGAACTTGTGCACACAAGACCCAGAGGCCCAGGAGGTAAAGCCTTTGCTGGAATGAGGGTTCAGCCTGTCTGTCAACTCCTACCTCCTGCGTGTCCTCTGTTCCAGCTACTCTTGTACCCAGGGAAAATCTCACTCTGTCTTCTGAAACCACTCCTTTTCCTCACAAGGGCCTTGGCATTCAGCTGCCATTCTACTTGAGCTGCAGAGGGCTGAAGGAGCAAATACAGGAGCTGGGAAATAATTGCTTCCGCTGCTCAGAAGCTGTGCCCAGTGTTGTGCAAACACTTGTGGAAGTCTGCAATCAGGCAAATGTTAGGGAACAGACACGTAAAAAGCAAAATATCTGCTAGACATCAGAATTGCTATAGGAGGAAGTGATATCAAGGAAAGGAGAAAGGCTTAGGTCAGCTTGTGGGGTTTTTTTCAAACTTCAGTGTTTAAATATAGATGATTATGTAGCCTTAGTCAGATCACAGTAAGTGTTGGACTTTCCTGAATCCCTCTGGAATCACAAGTAGCAGTACAGCTTTTAGGCTGATTTGCCTTTTAATATATGTATTTATAAAAACAGTAGTATGTTACTGCATATTTATTTTAGATATGTATTTCAGCTCTGCTTGAAAAGACTCAATTCTGTATCGTAGCTTCCACTTAAAAAATTGTTGTGGATTAAATGAAATGTTCAATTTGCTCCAACTCAGCATGAAAATATATTGAAAATATTAATATAAGGTATAAATTAATATTAGAAAAGGATGTATTAATATCACCTGTAGTGTTAGCATAAAATACTAGAAAATATTAACAAATAAAACACATACTACAAATAAAATTTACCTACAGTCATACTATAGATAAAGTTTATCTACCTGGTATGAACAGAAGAGATACTAAGTCCACCTAGAGAATTGTTAGGCACCAGCACCTGGGCTTTACCTGCCCTATAAGGCTGCATTTATTGCTTACTTGCATTTCCTCTCATCAGCTCGGCCAGAGGCATTTCCTGACTACGCAAGTAAGACCTGGAAGTGGCAGGAGGAAGCATGTGGTAAGTTTTAAGAAGTTTGTGCCAGGAACTTCTGATTAAATAGAAGCAGTCAGTGGCCATAAGACACATCCCACCTTCATCTCTGACTCTCATAAGTGAGATCTGTTTGGTATAACAACTGTAATATGTGAATTTGGTGATCCAATGGATATCAAACAGATGGACAGGTAAAACCTGGCTGCTCACCAAAACCTGATGGTGCAGGAAGGAACAGTGGATGTGTTCAGTCAGGTCATGGATTCAGGTCTGAGTCCAGAGCTGCTTTGGTGAGGGGGCTGCTGGAGGTCAAACTTCAAACACAAGACTGAACCCCACAGGGCACTCATGGCATTTTTGGGATCTCCATCACTCTCACCATGTGTGTCTCATCTGATGAGTGCTGCTAGAATCTGCTCTTCAGCATTTTCTACCTCAGAAATTAGATGTATATGGCCAGCCATAAACAGTGTGAAGCAAATCACTAAGATAAAGCATCTTTTCGACTATAGAAAGAAATTAACAATAAGTCAATGGGATTGACACATTAGCATTAATATAAGCATGACACTGGAAAAACAACACGTAAATAAATATGTAAGCTGCAAAATCCTTTTATTTAACAAAAAATGTGGTCTATTAGGGTCTCAGATAGAACATAATGCCAAGGTCGCAGTTCAACCCCCATATTGGCCTTTTGCTAAGAGTTAGACTTGATAATCTTTCTGGATCCCTTCTAACTCAGATTAATCTGTCAACTAACGTGAGAGAAAAAAATTGACCTAATATTTTCTGTTATTGAAGTAAATAATGTGTTATTTTCATTGGAAATATGACTTCTAAACTTTTCTTGGCATCTATGTGTATGTGTGTTGCTCTGCCTGCATCTTCCTGTCTGTGAGTGGAAACTGCAGCACATCAAATAGAAGTAACAAGGGTGATGTAGTCTCTCTATTTTTAGCTGCTCCCTTCTGAAAGCCCAGAGTTCCCAGGCTTTACCCTGAGGCTTACAGTGACTTGGAACTGTTGATGAGACAGGAGGTATTTTAGGTATCAGCCCATGCTTGCTTGCACCCTCCTTAGACCCAGACAAATCCCATTCACTTGGATTGAAGTCACTTACAAACACTCCTCACTCCTGATTTGATATTCCTATCATAGACCCAGCATCACCCCGAGATCTCTCTCCTGTGTGCTGATGGTCAGCCTAGAATGTTTTACTTCTACAGGAACTCTGTAATTTTTGTCTTATGTCAATCACTTTGGCTACTTCCTGCAGGGAATTTCACCTGGTAGTTTGTTGCCTAATCAATGACTCTCCCAAGGTCCTTCTGCAGTTCTTCATAGAAGAACTTGTTTTCACATCATCATTTGGCATCACCAGAGTACTTCAGCTCATGGCAAATGACCTTCCGAGATCCCCTGTGGGACAGCCAAACCTAACAGGACACCACACAAGGTGGTGTAAGAATCTGTGGGTGATGTCCCTTTAACAATGAAAATTGATCTTTTCATTCTGCCCTTCATCTCTATGTATTCACCTGTTACTTATCCATTTCCAAGACGTGTTTCTTAGCCTCATTATTTCCAGGGTTTAGTGAGGGCTGTGAAAGGATTTCGGAAAGGCAGTTTGACTCTACCTGTGAGAACTGCCACATCCATGTCTTGTTTTCACCTTCAAATAGCTGCAACAAGGGCATGAGAGATCACGTCCTTCAAAGTGACACAGATGCTTCTTTATTATGTGTTTATTCTGTTTCTGTTTAAGTCAGGCCATTTAGGGGTAACTAATGTCATCTTGTTTATTCTCATCATTACAACACTTAAACACTTTCATTAACCTTGAACTCCTCGATCTATCACAGACAGAAGTTTAGAGAGAGAAACAGCAAAGAAAATAAGATGACTCAGCAACCATCTCAGGGAAAGAAAAATAATCAACAGTAGTAATGTAGCAGAGGGGGCATTCTCATCAGAAATTATAGCATTCTCAGCAGCAATGTTTTCTCTCATTTCATATCCTTGCAGAAATCCAAGGTTTATTCTTCCTTGACTTTTCTTTGACTGGTGACTCAACATTGTCCCTGGCCCTGTAATTAGATTAAGTATAAAGTGAATTCAGAAATTAAAGAAACAATTACTATTAATACAAGCTAAGGGAGAGCAGTAAGTGCTCACCAATCATCAATTGCTTATTTTTACTGTACCAACCAATTAACATTTGGGGAAAAAAAAAAAAAAAAAGAAAAAACCAAACCCTAAACTGTTCCTGCATGAACTGCTACAACAGAAAGAACTTCCATCTCCCTGTGTGCAAAGTAGGAATTTGATTTTCCCTGTCTACAGCAGTGAAAGCCCTTGGCAATGCCAGCTGCATGTCTGAATTATACCCATTATGAGGAAGTGAGTTTTTGAGACCTTGATTTTTGGAAGTGTCAAACACACAAAATGTGCAGCCTCTCAGCAGAGGCCTTTTGGGTGGTTTAACACACAAGGAAGATATCAAAGGAAACTATTTCACTCCTCAGGCATGTAGAAATATTACTTTAGAGAGAACTGATGGAAATCATTTGCTACGCCTGAAGAGGGTGAACATTTGCATGCCAAAAATTTAAGTAGCCTTCTAAAATGAGCTTTAAGGTGCAGGTGTTCTAGGAAAGGGAACAGCTCACCTGGCTAGCAGAGCCTTTACAGTCAGCTGGATCCAGGGCGCAGTGGGCTCCACGCACACTTCCCTGCCATCTCTCAGCACAGCTCTGCCGAGAAAGGAGCAGAGAAGTTAAGGCCAGGTGTGTCCCTCACATTTCTCCTAAAGGCTGGAAATTTCTCGTAGCCAGTAGATAAAGGACCTGTTTGCTTTTGGTTTATGTGTTTCGGGGTTTTTATGAATGATGTCAGTACAGGTGTTTATGCTTATAATGAGCCTAATGAATTTTCTATTTGGTTTCAGTTCTCTATCTGGCCGTATTTTAGCAGATCTTTCAGGAACTTGATTATCTTGAAAAGTGTTTTTTTTAACCAAGCCTGGCTTAAATTACCTAGTGGGGTGGAATGGGATGCCAGGCAGTGCTGTACAAACCATTATTTGCTTAAGAAACCATAGTGAAAGCATAACAGCCTGACAGTGCCCTTGTGTTTACTGACTGCACTGCCCTAGTTCCTGTGACTAGTCCCAGGAGTGGCTTTAAATGAAGCTTACTGTATCTTTTGTTTCGTACCCACATGGAGTATAATCCAAACTCCCCACTCCTCAAACAGAGAAATGCTCCACGTGAAATTCTGACACAGGAAATCACTTGGGGCCTTTCAAACTTTTCCACATACAGGCGAAGGCAGAGGAAATTGTTTTAATTCATGTCAAGAGGATCAAATTTGTATCTTTGGTTGATTTTTCAATGTCAAAGTTATTAATTGTGCTCTGTGTTGTGGGAATCTGATTCTCCCCTCTGATGTTGTTCATAAGTAAGATAACAGCAGAAAGAGATTTAAAATACTGTCTGGAAGCTGCTTGTAACACGGGCTAGGAATAAGCTTATTCCTTTGGACATAAGGTCTCATTCCTGATACTTGATATTTCTGAGGCTTTGCTAGGGAAACATCCTGCCACTCACAGTTAATGAGTAAATAGGATGAGAAATGCTGGGTCGGTTCCTCCTGTAGGAAGCAAGGTGCTTTTTAGGAAATGTGCTCACATGATTTCCACATTTTTGCAGTGAGGTCCTCTTCGGCTTAATCTAACATCCTGAACAGTCTTGGGAGGAATGAATTTGGAATGAGTACTTATGCACTGGCATTGGGAGCCTCTTTCAGCTGTCTTCTCCAGGGCCTTACCTGTAGAACAAAATTCTGTTATCTCTAGGTACATGAACAGTCTCCTTATTTGCTCCCCTGAAGCAAGCTGTATTCTTTCCTGAAGCCTCATTAGTGTTCCCCAGACACTCTGATTTGCTAGATGCTGAGATAAAAGTAACTGCATCTGGACAAGACAGCAGCTGCATTTTCAGAGCTGTTGGCGTGCAGGTGCATTTGAATTTAAACTTGGGTTGCTACGTTTCTGCCATGATCATCTGCTCATATTCCTTATTCGTGCTTGCAAACACAATAATTCTTGCTCTGTCATCAACCTGCCTACCAAGAATAAAATCACAAAAAGGATAAAATTGTTATTTGTAAAAGAAGATCTATATGGACATAGTTAGGGGGAAAAGTCCTGTTTTAATTGAAGCACTTATTAAAATCTAGAGACAAGTATATATTGTGGCATAGGAATAAATTCATTTGCAGACCGAAGCATATTTTACTCCTGGAAACATCCACAGCATCCTAACAGGTACAAATGATTGTTTTTACTTCTGAATGACAGTTTACTGAGGAAGCACTTCTCTTGCAAAGAGTCATCATGGACATAGCGTAAGCCCACTTGCATTTGCATGTGTATACTTAGTAATTGCTTACATGATTTTTAAGAAACAATTTTCTTACCTTCTGACCCTGCCATTGAGAGCAAGTAGAGAACCAAAGTGACAGCAACAGATTTGCCACCCATTGCTGTGCACGTTTTCTTCTTGACAGAGGTACAGCTCTGGTGCTGTTTCCCATCAGGTTTTATACCTGAAAGGTACTCTCCCAGCAGCCTGAGTGCTGAGAGGTGGGTTCTGCACATGCAGGTTTCCTAACACATGAGAGTGTTGCATAAGAAACCCAAACCTCTATGCAGTTCCATTCAGTGGTACTTCAAACTTCCCTAGCTTTTGCTGCTGTATATTTTCAATTATTCTTTAAATGGTTATTGTTGTCCATCACTTTCTGTTTGCACTTCTTCACGGGATATTGGCCTTAGCCAACAATGCTAAGCTTGCTCTTGGAAATCAATACAACATTACCAGACATTTCTCAGAGCCAAAATAAAGAGACTTTTTTCCTCCTCTGTGAACATAAAACTTCTGTTCAGCTCTTTGCGTCATGCTTAAGTGACTTGTGTGAAAACATTCATCCAGCACCAGCATAATTACAAGAACTTTTCATCTCAATCTTACACACTACATTTTGGTATGAATCCAATGAAGTTATTTAGTCAGTGTTCTATGAAGACAAGACACAGCTAGTTTCTCTTGTTCTCTGAAAGGATTTTGTCTTTTTCATTTTGGCTAAAGGGATTTAGATGATTTATTCTGTACTGAGAAGTCTCTCTAGTCATTAAGCAGGAAATTATGAGCTTAAAATGACTGAGGCATTGTCACCAAAGTCACTTAAGCTCTTCTGAAACTTTCATCTGATAAGAATATGAAAGGAGAAAGTATCTGGCAGTAAGGGCTATAATGATACCTGGTTAAAATAAACACTTAGGATGTTGCTTGTTTTTCTTTCTAACCTTGTGCATTTAGAATAATCATAGGTGTTTAAGACAGCAGATAAACACATGTCATAAGTGACTTCTACTGACAAGGAAGAGCAGCCCAGTCTGGTGAAGGTAGATGCCAAGTCAAAGAGCCACAGCACTTCACTTAGCAGTCTCCAAGAGCACCAAAACACATTTTTGGAAGCATGAGAGTGGTTGTTGGGTTTCTAAGGAAGGTATTCTGTGACTGCACACAGAACAGAGATGTGGTATGTTGTCATTTCTACCCTTGGAATCGCATCCCACCAATGAGCCTATGGAGGAAGGTGCAGATGCCCTGCCCAGGGTCCTAGAAGTGCAGCCATTGCTGACATTTTGGATAGAAAAACTGATGAGAAAAGCCCTTTCTCAGTGTGGTTCAGCTCCCAGTAACTCCACTGGGATATTGCTTGTGGCAAAGGTTATGTATATCTGTATTACACTAAAACTGATGTCAGTCCTTTTAAGATACACCCAGATTTTTATGGCTGTGCAGGTGAAATGGTCTTTCCCAACCTCTCCACATTCTTGGCTGATACTTGCAACATCCTTATCTCCAAATTACATCTCTGAAAGAAGATATCTTATAAAAATCCCTCAGGATTATTAACAGGAAGGCTTAGACTTGTAAGACAAGTCTGAACAAAACCTCTCTCTTTGAGAAACCTTAACTCCTTTCCATTCTGAGTCTAGCAGGCTGTACAATGCTGTGCAGTGGGGCAGAGGCAAATATGGGGAGAGGGAGGTCAGAATAGTTGTCCTCTTGCACAAGAACTTGCTCAAACACTGTCAAAAACTCCCTTTATGTCTTGCACCATGAGCAAACATGAGCTGATTGTGCAGAATATGGAGTGGCTCCTTGTTGGAAAAGATCAAACCTAAACAAGTAGCAAAATATTTGCTCAACTTTCCCAAGTGTTAGCTGCTTGAATTTCAACATTCCTCTGTAAATTGCTCTTCTAGAGGTAGATGTAAGGCCATATAATGGGAGCTCTGTTTCTTAGGATATCCCCTGATGTAATCCTCCCTCCTAACTAGAATTATGGAGGATATTCAGTGACTTCCTTATGTTTATCAGATTTCCCTGTTTCTTTAAGCTGATGAAAACCCTTGTTCATTGTCACGTTCTCAGGTTCTGCACTGTCAGAGCAGCACACTGCTATTGCCTTGTGATTTCTGTGACTGACCAGTATTTGTTCATTACTGTCTGTGAATTTTATCATCCAGACTTCTGAAAACACTGAGTCTCACAGGAAAGAGGAAGAAAGTAGATAACTTTCATAATTCCTTTAATTGTCTACACTTTACAGAGGCAGCAATATGTTGTTTCAATTTGCTGGCCCCCACAACTTAGATCCCCTCCCCCTTGCCCTTCTTGGAACCCTTTATGTGATACAAAATGAAAAAAAAATGCTTCCTCTTTTTTTCAGTTCTCTGTTCCAACAATGAAATTAATAACAAGCAATATTGAAGTGAAAACTTTTCAACAAGCATTTATTAGGTAGGTATACATAAACATCTTCAATAAATAAATAAATAAATAAATAAATAAATAAATATTATTCTATAAATAAATAAAGTGGGGTTTTTTCCTAGCCAAAAGATGGCATTAAAATATATGTTTATACCTTCACAACACTCATTCACAATAAATAATATATTGAAAATTATGAGACAAAACCTGATGTATCAGAATTTTGATGTGTTAATTCTAGAAGCTCCCCTCTTCAGCCAGTAGCCCACTGTGAGTGGCAGTGATCCAGGTACAGTTGAAGTTACCTGTCTATGCTTTGCTGGGTAGAAGTTGTTGGTGGTCTTTTCCTAAACTGTTTGCAAAAAGGGAATGAGTTATTTAGTGAAAACTCCACTGGTCATGCACTGCACTGTTCCAGCTGTGTTTAGCAAAAATTATTCCAGAATCATCTCCATATTCCTTCACCAGCCGTTTTTCCTGCCTTCTCATTGAGGTGGTAGTGGTTTCTTTCCTATATAAGGAGACCAGTTTAAAAGACTTAAAGTATTGTTGTTGACTAACTACAAAGCAGGGAATGCATATTCTAAATGCTGTGACATTATAAACGTAGGAGGCAGGAGGAGGTGATCTGTCTTGTGAGCTGGGTGAATGTCTTCCCTATTTTTGCCTCGTTGGAGGAGTTAGGACATTTTTCTTCTTTGTTTTAGTACACTGTCTCAGGTTTGGTGTTGGCCCTAGAAAGAAAGAAGACGGAAAAGGAAACTATTAAAAATTAACCATACAACAAGTAAGACTTGCTGGTGTCAGCTGAAATCCACTTTGTGCTGCTGTGCCCAAGACCCTGAAAAACTGTGACAGAACCCAATAGACACTGGTACATCATAACATTCCCAAAATTATTCAGCAGCAGTGAATTTCTGTCATTTGATGCTTCACTTGACAAATGGAGCCTGATTTTCCCCCCACTTATCTATGTGCCAGTAGTTTGAAAAAATTTTTTTCAAACTGCTTTCTGCCACTGCAAGCATGAGAAAACTAGTCAGTTAATGCTTGGATTTTCTGAGCAGCTGTGCTGCAGGTTTTCAAAATGCTTGTGCCGTAGGGGAGAGGAAGGTAACTTTCCCAGAGGTGCGTGGCACAGTAAGGTTTCAGTAGCTAATGCTATAATTAAGGCTCAAAGCAATCACAGTGCTTGTCACAATTAGTGAACACAAAAGGTAGTAACTCCCCGAGGAGACAGAATTTTGGAGCGCTTCACACCTGTCTGTGTTTGGTAGCTCAATTAAAATCCCGGCTTTCAATAATCTGTGCTTATTGAGGAGAAATGACTCACTTGTCCAGAATTGCCTTGATGATAAGTTTCACCCAGGGAGCACTGGGCTCCAGGCACACTTCTCTGCCATCTCGCAGGGTAGCTCTGCAACAGGGAAAAAAGGAAGGGGGAAAGGCTGTTAAGTGAAATCCAAGGCAATGTCACCTTTCTCTCATAATAACATCATTCTAGGCATATACTGACATGTTCCACTTGAAGCTGTATAAACTGAGGCTGTAGCCTAACATAAAGAGATCTTTTTCACTAGTTAAGTGTCTTCTCACATCTGTTTGTTTGATGTATTAAACCATCTGCAGGACTCTCCCTCTTTTCAAAACTGCTTTTTTCCCCTCAACTGGCTTTGTATTGTTGTCAGTCTTTCACTGAAGAGTTAAATCTTTCCATCTTGATTCAGAAATTGTACTGCCCAGTCCAGAGGAATCACCAGTCCACAGGAACTTGGTTACTTACAGTAAAAGTTCTGGAATTATTTGTATGCTAATGGTATTTTTTTTTTCATTGATTTGAGCAGATGTGTGATCATTTTTTTGACCTAGCCCTTAAAAATTTTGTTTTTATCTCTTGATCAGCATGGCTCCATGCATTTTCACAAGACAGTGGAATTCAGAGTTTTAGAAAGTTATTTGCTGCCTGATAACTGTGAACTTAGGTCAAAATACTGCATGTGTTTAGAAAGTAGAGATTGGCAATACAACACTGAGTTCCCAACAAGTAGCACATCGTCTGTAGGAGCAGGGAATGATGCTGTTCTGCTTTCTGAGCAGCTGCTTCTGCTAGAGCACAGAGCACTTAGCCCCAACTGAGAGCAAAATCTGCTTCCTTCTTGTTAAGTAATCAGGAAACTTTTGCAAGACACTTACATGACTTCAACATTCTTGCAGTGAGGTCCACTGGGGGTGAGGTTCACGTTTTGGATGAACTTGGGATGGATGAATTTGGAATGGGTGTTTATGCACTGGCACCGGAGTTCAATGGCTGAACGTGGCACCGCCTCACCTGGAAATAAAAAAAAAAAGGTAGAGTGGTTTGCTATTTTCACAGGAAGCACAACATGGTAAGAGAGCACAGTGTCTCCCCACCAACATTTGCTCTGGCCATTAGCAGAACTTGAGGAAGGGTTTCCTTACCTTGTGTTCCAAGCGCTGAGATCAGGAGCAGGGTCAGGACAGCAGCCACAGTCTTGCCCATCATGATGTAAGAGTGCATCTTCCTCGTGTGGCCTGGGCCTGGTTCTGTGCTGGAGGGAGCTCTGGCAGATCCCAGGGTGGCAGGTGCCTGTGCTCTGGGACAGGCTGTGTTTATTTTATACCCTGCCTGGGCCAGCTGGGGCACTCCAGCATCACGGGAGGGTCATACCCACGGAAACTCCGAACCTGCGAGATGCTGCTGAGCACTGAGTCACAGGTGAGTGGGTAAGCCCCTTTCCCTTCATGACCACAAAACTGCTTCTCTTTAAGAGAAAGCACTTTAGGAAGTAAAGACGTAGAGTTGCCCTGTACTGAGCTGTGTGGAGTCTGTAGGGAGTTTGTGATTTCTTGGAATAATTTTAATCTGTACTTGTGTCCTCCTTGTGACTTTCCACCACAGTTTGAAGGCATTTGCTCTCTGATTTTCCGTCTCTGTGTCCTTGGACTTCAATTTCACCTTTTTTCTGGTTTTAGACATGATAGAAGTAGGAGACAATAATTTTAGAAATTATAGGGACTAGCTATCCTTG